AACCTCTTAATGGTTAACGGTGCATATATGCACCAGGCTAGATTTTCTATTTAGGATTATTTTTTTTGGCTGATTTTTTTAGAATATCATATTTGAGCATTAATCAATATAATTTGAAAAAATTGAGCATTTTTATCCACTAGAAAAATCTTAACCATTAATGGGTTAATTGAATGAAGGTTGATAATGGTAAAAATACGTCATTTTTGCCACTTTGAACCCTAATATCTCCAAAAATATAAATGATACGAGGCTAAAATTTTGGCTATTTCTTAACTACACTAACCTTTCTTTGCTTACCAAATTTTAAAAAAATCGAAGGGGATCGGCCGAATCGTGGTTGATTTGTCATCCAATATGTTATTTACTTTTTCATTTATATGGTTGAATATTTTTTGAAATACAAATGAGGAAATGATGATATCAAATAGAGAAAAAAAATACTAGAAAATATCTGATCCTCATTTAATTATATATATATTTATTCGCGTTTGTTTTTGCTATGATTGAATCAAATATAATTTAGTTTGAACTAATTTAATAATATTATCTTTTATTTTTGAATATTTATGAATATATAGAGAAAAAATTAAATATTTAGTAAGCAGTCGGTTTTAGTGTACGGTAATAGGTCAAATTATAATATTATTAAAATATTTTTTGGGATAAAGTTTAACGCGGAATAATAGCAGCATATAACAATTATAAACATTTTTTAATTGATATCACTAGGAATTTTGGTCTATCGAATATTTAGTAAGAGATAGGTTTTGAGTTCGACGATCGGTCAAATCAAAATATTTGGAATAATGCTTTACAAAAACAAAAATGAAGATTTTTCTATAAGGCCAGCAAAGCAGCATATAGTCATTGAGTTGGTTATTAGTCGGTTATAGGTGAAATCACGATATTATTTGGGATAATGTTTTACACGTTGTCATAATTGGGAGACTTTGATTTGTAAAATTTGATTTTTGGTAAAGTCAGTATGAATTGCGTTTGATGAGTCATTTTTATTTTTATAATTTTATGTTTTAGTTAATTTGGTGAGTCATTGTTATTTTTATAATTTTATGTTTTAGTTTAATCGCGTTAACATTTTATTTTTCAATTTATAAAAGTTAATTATTGTAAAGTCATTATGATGGGATAATTTATAATGTCTAAAAATGTATTTTTATCTTATAATTTTAATTTGAGGCATGATTAGGAGCTTTATAATTGTAAAAGAAGATATTTTAAGATTGTTAAATTTCAATTATTTATTTGTGATGATTATTGCTTCTCTATAAAAGGGAAGCGAAATTGTAAATTATCAATTCATTTTTTTTAATTAATTTTTTTTTACAGAGTTATTTTTTTTCGTTTTAAAAATTATAATATTTTTTATAAGTTAAATAAAGAAAAATTATCAAAGAGAATTTGTAGTAAATTAGTAGTTGCATTATAATTGTAAAAGAAGATATTTTAAGATTATTAAATTTATTTATATTGCTTCTCTATAAAAGGGAAGCGAAATTGTAAATAATCAATTCATTTTTTTTAAATTCATTTTTTTTAATTAATTTTTTTTTACAGAGTTATTTTTTTTTTCGTTTTAAAAATTATAATATTTTTTATTAGTTAAATAAAGAAAAATTATCAAAGAGAATTTGTAGTAAATTAGTAGTTGCATTATAATTGTAAAAGAAGATATTTTAAGATTGTTAAATTTTAATTATTTATTTGTGATGATTATTGCTTCTCTATAAAAGGGAAGCGAAATTGTAAATTATCAATTCATTTTTTTTAAATTCATTTTTTTTAATTAACTTTTTTTTACAGAGTAATTTTTTTCGTTTTAAAAATTATAATATTTTTTATTAGTTAAATAAAGAAAAATTATCAAAGAGAATTTGTAGTAAATTAGTAGTTGCAAGTGGACAACGTGATACACGTGTTTATAGATATCAAAAAAATTTCAATTGATATTACTACCAATTTTGGTCAATCGAATATTTGGTTATACAATATTTTTTAGGATAATGTTTTATATATAAATATAAGCATTGAAAACAAAAATGATGAGATTTCGATCAATAATACCAGCAATGTGCCATACAAGTTTGCGGGTATTTTTCGATTCCAAACCTACTCATAAATTAAATGTCAAAGAAACCCATTTAATTTTTTAGGTTTTCCACATGGATCTAATCTACACCCATATACAAAAAAAAGCGTTAAGCAATAATCATTCGGGGTTCCTAATATTAAATTTTAAAAAATAAAATTTGAGTTGTAAGTAATAAGCTAGTAAATATATTTTTTTCCCATTCATATTAAATAAAAATAGAATTATATATTATTAAATATTTAATTTTCATTTTACATTTAATAAAAAATAAATTTAAATATATTTAAAAAAATGTTTCAAAAAATTATTTTTTAAAAAACGCATAATAAAATTTTGATTAACTGCTATTTAGGCAACGCAGTTCAGCAATGCAGTATTTAGTCAAACCCAAAAAATTATATTATTCTTTAATTGTATTATTCCTGTAATTAAAATTAAGATAATAAATTATTTCAGGGTGAATTTGAATACTAAAATAAATATAATAAAAAATTTTTAAAAATTTGATGTTTCTGTTATTTTAACTAAATTTTTATAAGTCCTTATTTTTCTAGGCTCAAAGCCCTGAATTTTGTTCAGGGATTTTTCACTGAACCCTTTTTTTATAGGAGGGTTGGCAGTCTTGAAAAAATGTGGTTATAAATTAGTTTGACATGCTTGGAAAAACGACCATTAAATTAGCAACTAATTTAGTTGAGTTAGGATGAGGTATTATTAGTACAAAAACATCAAATATTTTTTTTAAATAAGGGCAAATTGAAAAAATTATAGAAATTCTTATCTAAATTTAAACAATAATAATAATTTTTTAATGGAGTTAATTGCATTCAAAAAATTTAATTTAAGATTAACTCAATATTTGATAAAATTATTAATTACAGCTTATATGCAAATATAGTAAAATACGATTATGATGTTTTTAAAAATAAAAAATAATTATAAAAATTTATGAGCAATAAAGAAAATTGATTTAAAATATCTATCCCATCTCTTTTTACTCTAAAATTGTTCCTATAAAAATATCAAAATTTTGGTATAAAATTAAGTATAACTCTCTCTTTATAATCTAAATAACAATAGATCATTTTTTTTTTACTATTTATTCTTATTTCTTTTTACAACTTTTAATATGAATAACTAAATATTCCTTTTTGCTAGTCATCATAGATAACTCATAAACAAATAAAATATCTTGATACATCTGAAAGAATATTATTTTAAAAACGTTTGGAATATCAAAATTACATGAGCCATTTAAATTAAGGGATGTGCTGCCACAAATATTTATTAAATTTTATACTGCACTGCTCAAATATTTTCGAATATTCATACAATAAATAAAATTCCTCACATCTAAAATGTTTTTGCAAAGTTTATAATTTATTTAATTAACTGTATATACTGATTTCTAAAAATTGTATGTTTGTTATTATTTTTATTTTTGAATAAATAATAACATATTTTCAAATATATTATGTTCATTCTATATATTTTTTCTAATAGTGAATTAAAAGTTTTCAAATTAATATTTAATAAGATTTATAAAATCAGAAACTAGGTATTGTCATTTAAATGCATTGACTCAGTCACATTAAAAAATTTTAATATTTTGAAACCAAAGGACATTTTAATAAATTTATAAATATAAAAGTATACAAAAATTCATCAAAATATCTTTAAAAAAATAATGAAATGAATGCAATGCACTGGCAGGCTATAGCAATAATATAATTTTATCTGTAGCACAAAGAACATGTATGTATTATATATTTCTAATTATAATTTAAAAAATATAAAAAACAAGTTAAAAAAGATTAAAATTAGAGTTAAATAGTAAAAAGGTAGCTAAAAATACTCATTTTGGTAAGCAGTTTTTAAAATGCCAACCATATTTTTGAAGAAAGACTAACACATCTAATTTTTATAAAGATTTTTGCAACATGGTTTAAAATCATTTATATCTATGTTTAATTTCCTTAGTTTGATTTTTCAAATCATATTTTGTAATAAATGAATTAAATATATAAACATATCATAATAGTAATTGCTAAATATTTAAATTTAATGCATAACATTATAATAGAGAAAGAGATTAAAAATATTTTTTTTTACAGTAATATTCTTCTTAATTTTATTTAAACTATCAAGCCTAAAATTAGTTATCATGGGCTATGCTTAGGATAAAAAAAATGATTTTGCAGTAAACTCTGGTTTAAGTATAGAAAAATTAATCTATAAAATACAATAAGTCAAATTTGATAGAAAAGCTTACAATAATATACTAAAATTTTCTCTATAAAAATATCACCTAAATCTTTGTTTGTGATTATGTATTTTTATTTAATAAGGTAACAAAAATATTTTTCCCAATTCTAATTAATAATTACTATTGGGTATAATTGCAATATGTTATTTCTTAATCATTTAATAAATTAATTTTAAATAATTTACTTGATAAATTGATACACAAATTAATTATCAAGCAATGCCATTATTTTTTTGAACAATCAGACAAAAATTCACAAAATTTATTTTAAATGATGTACATGGTATACATTAATTACATATATTGAATTTAATTTAGAGATAAAAAATATATCATATTTTCATGGGTCCAGTGTACCACTAATTAAGTATAAACACTTTTTCCCTTTAGATCTAATATGTTAAAAAATTTAATTGTTATAGTAAAATTTGATTATTTTGATAATAATCTTCAATTTTAACTCATACTTAAATATTATAAGGATGCATAATTATTAATAAACCCAACAATGTGATAGACTTGTACAAAATCAAGACAATGTTTTAATAAAAATCACACCAATTTACCAAATAAAAAAATTCTTATAATCATGAATAATATATAATTTGTATATTAATTTACTATTGATATAAATTTGAGCAAACAAATAAGGTCTATATTATAAATACTTAAAATGCAGAAGAGGCCGAAATTTTGAATGAATGAATGAACGATTTATTTAAATAGAAAGTTTTGCATAGTTTCGCCCCCCCCCCTCCCCTTTATATCTCCAACGCTATATATTTGTTCTATTACAGTATTATGTCATTTGTTGTTAGATACTAGTATATTTTAAAATTAGTTAACAAATAGTATTATTATTATTCACTTAAAATGAAAATTCTTATTGCAAATTATGTGTAAATTTAATATTTTAATTTCGCATTCTATCTAGTGTACATAAACTTTAGAATTTAGGATATTTAATTCTAACTGACTACAGATTTTTAAATCTAAATCTTCATTTTTGACATTCATTTTTATTTATATAAGATTTGCTCTGCAAACCGGCTCTTTAATAAAATTCGGGTCGGGTCGGACGGAATTTTTTTAAAATATATCAAAATTTATCAATTTTATGTTGAATTTTATGTAAAATAAAAATATGTGATTTTATTTAAAAAGTAGACGCCATATAACAAATATCGTTTATTTTGAGTAATTATAAGAATTAATTTCTATATTTCAATAAATTCGAGCCGGGTTGGCAAAATATTTTTAAAAAAATTTCGGGTTCGAGCCGGGCAAAACATTATAAAAAAAATTTCGGGCCGGCCGGGCTAAAAAATTAGACCCGATGCAGATCACTAATATAAATATTGAGTTGAGCAAAAAAATAGGCTTGATAATAAAGAGCGTTATGCAGCCACCAATTATTTACAAGTTTATCCACTTTTTAGCATTCCCAACCCATTTTTCTCCTTAATTTTTTCCGAAAAATAGTTAAAGAAAGTCATTTTATATATTTTTATAATTTTTATAGCTAATATAGGCGATTTAGAATATTTGGTTTCAAAATATACAGCACTGCCCGGGTATTTTTTTAAAAAAAAAATTTCAAACCCCACCTGGGTATATTTAAAATAAATAAAATACCCAGGCCGGACTTAGGGTCACGCCTATAGGTCTCTGATATTTATGGTACAATCATATTCACTATTATTAAAATATGTCTGATAGATTAGATAACTTGTCTTTTGAAATATGGATTTTTTTCTTTTGGTTATATAATAATAAAAATATTATAAATTATTATATTTTATCTCAAACTCCAGAAGATAACATTATCTTCATTTTTGAAAATTAGATAATAATCTTTTTCTCTAAAAAAAATCTTTGATATTTAACCAATTTGGGATTATAATAGATTGTTAAAATAGTATCTATAATTTTAGGAATATATTTGCATATAATCTTAATATTGAGTTATTTATCTGAATCTGAATGTAGATACAATTGGAAGGTATCTTTTAATAGCTCTACAGGAATACATAGTATGAAATTTGTATTAGAAGTGCCACGACAAATATAAAGACAGCAATGCTAAGGCTTTGAACCTATATTATTAATAACATTTTATTTTAGGTTATATTTTATACTTAGGCAACATAGGGTCTATGTTAATATGAATATATATTATTTATTTTACACTCTCATTCAAAAAAGCATGAAGTTCAATATAAAAAAAAGGATGTTAATATGAATATATATTATTTATTTTACACTCTCATTCAAAAAAGCATGAAGTTCAATATAAAAAAAAAGGAATAGTATTCAACAAAAAAAGAAAAGATGCTAACAAGAAACGAAAAAGTTTAATCAAAACAGGAAAAGTATCAGAGGCTTAAGATTAGGTCAGATCAAAAAAGGAAAAGGTCTGATCATGGAAAAGGTCCGATAAGAAGAAAAAGGTTTGTTCAAAAAATGAAAAAATTGAAAGAAAGAATACACGAGAAGTAAAGAGTTCCATCAAAAAGTTAAATTTTTTATTCAAAATAAGAAAATTGCGATTTATTATATTTTTTATATATTTTATTTTTGGCATTTCATTTTATTTCATTCTGAGATGTCATTTCTTTGGCATGGTTCTTTAATTATCGAATTTATTATATTATATTATTTTTCTAACTTTTTGTTATATATCTTTAATTTTATCTCTGTCATTTGTAATCTACTTTTATTATCTCTTTCAATTTTTTCTCTCATTTTTATTCATTCTCTTTGTCTTTTTTATCTTATACAAGTGAGGGAAATATATTCAGCCAGCACCGTGTTAAAAATTTAATCTGAAAAAATATTTTTGGCCTCTGATTCGGGTTTGCAAGTTTCTGGATTAAATACTTATCATTTGGCATTTTAATTTAAAATTGTTATTATTTTAAAAAGCAGTACCAAGTAATTAATATATTACCAGCAATTGTTCGTAATAAAGAGCAAGCCATGAATTTTGGAGGAAATAATATATTTAATATAAAATGGGGGGAAAAAATATGGTAGAAAGTGAATTTTGATGATATTCTAACTGGAAACAACAATATATTATTCCTTAAAAGGATACCGCGAGATCTTCTAGCACATTGGCCAAAAATAACAATCTTTTTTTTAATAAAAGGAAGGGTAAGATGGCTGGATATCAATTTTTAACAAATGTTTTAAACAAGGGATAGTAAATTTTTTAAATATAATGATCAATTAATGAAAATTGTTTTAAATATGAATATAACACTTATAGGGGTGTGATAGGCACAACTTTACCCCTCGCCTTTGCTGACAATGGGATATTAGGGCTCATTCATGATTTATAAAAAAAAAATATAGATATATATTTAGCCAATAAATAATTTTACTTTTTTCCCTCAATTATTTAGATGTCCTATATAGTTTTTGGGTACAAGAAATGATTAGAAAGCAAATAAGGATTTTAAAATTACAAATTTTAAACTATATAATCTAACATAAATATTAATAAAAAGCTTCTATTTTATTAAAAAGTAAATTTAATATTATAACTTGCTAAGTAAGATTATATTGAGTAGAGTATACTGTTTAACAAAATAATTTAAAATTTTGAAGGCTATAATTAAAATTAATCTTAAACAATTTAATTTATAAAAAAAAAATATAAACTGCAACTGCAAGACTTTTTTTTATTTATATTTTTAAAAATGTTTAATAAATTATAATGTAATTCATATTATATAACTATATTCCAATCATAAACTATAATATAATAAAAATAAAAACGTTCATTTTACATTAACGAAATTGGGACTAAAAGTTCCTAAAAACACGAATAATTATATTTAAAAATAATAATTCTATTTTGAAAAATAAAATTCTTTAGATTATGATGTAAGGGATTTTATTTTCTCGCCTATTTTATTTAAAAAATCGGGGTATTTATTACTTTCATTATTGTCATTAAATTCCTTCATCCAATTTATTGCGAGATCCACATCTAGCTTCAGTCGCGAACAAAATTAATGTATTTCTCCATAACGAATGTTATCGCTGCCCAGTTGTCTTTTTATAAATATTCCTTATCAGATAAGATAGCTAAAAAGATAAATCGGTGACTAGTGTTATTGGAATCAACATCTATTACCTATTTTGCATATTTTCTACTAAGGCAATAATTAATTGATTTTTGTTGATACCAGAGTGCCTTTAGTTTTCCTTCAATATTACTAATCCAAATTTATTTCCCTTCTCCTTGAGCTATTTTCATATGTTCTCCTTTAGAAATATTAAATAAACATTCATTTAGAAATTACAAAAAAGATTTAGAATCTACCATGTATATCCTTAAACAACTTTAAAAAATGAAGCATTCACTTGATTGATTCTTCAGCGTTAGTTATTGCTTGTTCTTGTGTGAGACCATATAGATAGATTGGATAATTCAAATAGAACATCATACATTGCGAGATATGATAAAAATTTACCACTTTGTAATCGGGTGGACAGTTGGTTAAATGTTGCACTGTTGCTAGAATTTTTGAAATACGTATACAGAGCCTCATAATTATTTTAAATTGCCTAGTACTCTTCCAATCCAGCAATTAAATGCCCATTTCAGTTGTTATTTGACACAATTTGATTTTAGCCTATATAAATAACTCATATGTGCCAATAAAAGCTTTAAAGTGATTAAAACTTATAACATTTTTTTGTTACATTGGACACCTCTTATTCTAAACAGTGATTTAAACAATGCCTGGATATGATCTTGGATATAGTGCACGAAGGCGCGTTGCTACGTCAAATCTCCTAGTCATGACACTGGCGCCATGGCTAACTAACAAAAAAAATTCAATTTTTTTTGCAAATTTCATTAAGAAACCCCAGGGTTGCGAAAATCATATAGTGTAGGTACAATCCCTTCTGGATCTTTTGATTCCAGTCAATCAGGTCCAGAAATAATAGGTTCATCAAAAGAGGACCCCAATACTGATTTTACATAAATAACTTAGACAGATTTATTTGACAATGTTGTAGATTCATCTACCAGAATAGCGATTTTTAAATTGATAATATTTTTACAATTTTCATCTGCATTATTTTGGAAATACTTTCAATTATTAACAAACTAGAATACCTAGAATGTAAAATATGTCCTATATCTAAACCATTGCGCTCTTATAAATCTAATAACAATTCAAACTCTACATGGACAATTTGTTACAAGATAATAGTAGCATTGAGTTATTATCTATGGTTCAGTATTTTTTTATTTGGTTATGGGAGGGGGGGGGGGGAGAAGTAGGGTTACAGCTAGAAAACTGTTGGTCAGGACGGATACAATGACATTCACATATTTCTATTGGATATTCTTTTTTTAAGAACATTTAAAATAGTGAAGGGTTACTTTTTGAATTAAAAATGTAGATTTACATTAATATACTACCATTTTATTTATAAAATAATTTATGCTTACTTCATGATAAAAGATATTAATAATAAACCATTATAAAAACTAAAATTTAATTTTTTGAAAGGGACACGCAGTGCCTCCTACTTTTTATAAAATTTTGATGCGAACTAGCTAAAATATTTTAATATTGACTAGGGCACTGAGTGCTCCCGAGTGCAACCCTTACGATTAAATCCTTGCTCAGGCCCTCATCTGGTGATAAATTCGCAATTTCCAGGATGTTTGATATTCAGGCCTTCATAAGAGAACTGCTAATAAATGAAATAATCACGCATGTCTGTCTTGACATAAGAATCAGAGAATATTTTCGGTTAAGTCCAAAAAATAATTTTTTAATTTTTAAAACTTTCAAAAGTTTTAAAATTTTATCATATGTTAAATTTTGGAAATTTTGAAAATTTTATGTTTTTATTTTTATATTTAAAGAAAAAGCTTATTTCTTTATTATCGATAAAGTTTCAAAAGTTTTAATTCTAAGAGAGTTTTCGAGACATTTATACAAATAAATTACAATATAATTACCAATAAAATATACTATATGGCGATGGGATAATTCAATCATAAAAATTGTCATTATAATCTGTTAATTTATTGTATTTAGATAAAAGCGAAAATATTTTAAATTATTTTAAAAAAAATTTTTAAGCCGACGCATAATTCTTGGTGCAAAAGTAAGAGTAGCTGCACTCACGTTCCTCCTTTAATTCTTGACAATTTCGTGACTGGTTAGGGTAAACTGCGAAGGGTAATTCCAAAGTTGGTTTATGTCGCATCTGTAATGAGCCTGACAAGCAATTTTCGCAAAGGGTCCATTCAGACCAGGGTCCATATATACAATTTTCATTTTCTATATTATTATGAAAAAGAAAAGAAGAAAGACAAAAATGTATTAGAACATATTGCTGTTTGCATATATTCAGTCACAAACTCAGTTAAAGCAATCAAAAAAATATTCATAATATTCAAACAGTAAATTAATACTCTGAGATGAATCATGCAAAATTTTAAACAATTAACCAGTTCCTATAATATTTTAAATAGTTCTACTTCCGGTTCATATAAATTTTAAAGGAGTGTTCCAGGTTCTGGTTCTGTTTTTGGAGGTATCTAGGTTCCAGTTGGAATTTCAAACTCTGATGCATGTCATTTCTTTTTTTAAAATAAAATAATTAATCGTTTAAAATTTATACTCTATTTTTCTTCTCTAAAGGCTTAGTCCTCATCCACATCTTTAACACAGCGTTAAAAACTTTTTCAATGTTAAAAAAAAAGATAAAACTCTCACTTTTGATTATCAACATTTCAAGCGTTTTGAACGCTGCGTTAAAGAAGTAAAGTGGCCATACCTTATATTTAATTTTAATTAGGAACATTCCAAATAATATAATACCGCATTCTTTTTCGTTGCAATATTCAAATTGATAAGTTTCATCGGGACAGAGTTCGCCACCATTTTCAGGGTTTCTTTTAATCATTCTTCTTCTGTTTTTGGTTCCTTCAGCAATTCATTTTTTTTATTATGCCATAATTTTAATAACAGAGTTTGTTTCTCATTCATTTTGAAATAAATTTCATTTGCAATCCAATGAGATGGTAAATTCTATTAATCAAAAATAAAACTAAGCTGAAAATGGCCGTCAATTACTAACTAATTAATTTAAATAATAACTCAAATTGCAAAATTTAGAAAAAGCTGAGAGAAAATATTTAGTAATTTCATATTGAAATAGTATTAACGTTATGATACCAAATTTATACGTATATTACCTTTTCCGCATTTTTTAGAACAACTTGACCATTCCGACCAATCACTTACCATGCAATCAACTTTCTTCCGATTTGTTTGCTTAGATCCATCGTAATCTATATCATATTGATTTGTTAAATAGAAAAGATAGATAACTTGTCAATTTTAAAATTTGATGAATTACATATATCAGTCATTCCATTCACAGCAACTATATATTCATCTTATATTTACTACTTCTATGATTAATGTTTTAAAAATGATACGAAATAAATCAATGCTATTATACTTAATAATACATATAATTTTCACATAATATAGACTAAATAGACAGATTTTTAAATAAATCGTAGTACCACAGTATTTCCATTCACGTGTTTGCCATAAACAAATATATAAAAGTTCAAATACCTTTTGGTATAACCATCTCACACATTTGTTTACAATCCAAATAATTGTGAAAGTTGTTGAGATTTCCTTGGCAGCCTCCGTACCAAAATCTTCGACATTGTTTAAGTTTAACATTAAAGTACCATCTATGAAACTGTCCTCTGCAAGGTCCTTTTATAGGAGAGAGCATGCAAGTACCTGTCAAAAATTTATATAAAGATTTAGATTTTTATATGAACCACATTATCAGGCTATTTGTGATATACTATTATATTATAGATAAGGTTAAAAGGTAAGCATACATCCTTATATTTACCCAGATTAGTAATTATTGTTTTGTAAATTTAAAAAATAAAAATATAATAATGGTGTTACTATAATAAAAAAATAAACAAAATATTTTTTGATGAAGAAATCACAATTTAATCCTAAATCAACTAATATAATTAATCATATATGAAAAATTCAAAATAACATAATATCTTTTTGCTAATTCTAAAATAAGAAAGATTAACATACTTTCACTGCTACTGACATTCATTATGCATTGTGGTTGAAAGCCCTGACATATCTCGGTTTCAAATAGCTTGGAATCTCGTAATTTAGGATTCGAAGATAAGCATGATAACTGGTCATTTGAGGCCAAATCGAAATTTACAATTGGGGCATTTTTAATGGTCAAATCAGGTACAAAATATCTGGTTCTAACCCTGGTACCAGTACCGCAAGAAGATGTACATGGTGACCATTCAGACCATAAAGTCAGCCGGCAATCAGGTTCATTTAAAGACTGAGAGGATGAAGAATAAATTTTGTGGGGGTCGTTTAAGCTGTTTTCGATGATTTCGCAAGTTATTCCAAATCTACCATGACACGATTCCTTTGGGGGTCATATTTTTTTAAATCAAGATATTCATTTCTTGGGAGATATTTTAGAAAAAAAAGCTTATGACTACTATATATTTTCTCAATGCTTAATATATAGTTGTGGTTATATCTTTTTAAAACTGCCCTGTGATATACCTGATAATATAACTTGATCTGCTCCCCCCATCCCTATATTCAGGTCTTTTATTTCATTTTATATCTAGCTTCAGCATATAATTATTCTCTTTCATATCAACTTATCATGTTGTGTATTTGTAATACACTTAAATGAGAGGATGCGAAAATTTTGAATGAAGGGTATAAGTAAAAATTCCTGAATATCCATAGCTGGGCAAATTATAGAATGATTTAGAAATGTTTTGGTATACATTTGAGAAGGGATTATCGTATGCTATAATAAAAATCAAAATTCAAAAATAATTTCTAACTTTTAAATAATTTTTATGATAAATATTATTAAAAATTTTACATTTAAAAGTAATAACAAATAAAGTTATACTTTCTCTATAAGATCTTCTAAACATTGTTTTTTGGCTTTCTTTGGCGTCACGTAATACCTAGATCGGTATCTTATTCCAGTACCGCATTCAACAGTGCAATCAGACCAACTTGACCAAAGAGTGGTTTGGCATCTTTTATCAGCTTGATTCTGGCACTCAGGAATTTCCATACAAATCTAAAATACAATATAACAAAAGTTTTGTATATAAAATATACGTAGCATATTAAAAAACATAATTATACTATAATCCTTTCCATTATAATTTATCTAATTCCAGGTTACTTCTTTAAATGAAATTATAAATTTTAAAAAGATCAGAAATGGAAAATGTTAACTGAAATATTTTTAAACTATTCTCTTCAAAATACAAGATGAATTAATTGAAAATTAATTTAAATCATATACCATTTGCACGGCCCGATTTTAAAAAAAAATTCCCGGCCCGGGTATTTGCAAGAAAAATTAAAATACGCTCCACAGTCCGTTTATCTGTCGCGAGTGCCTGCAGGTCTCTAATTTAAATACATCCAAATTAGAGATCTGCAATGTCCTGCTCGGCCCTTTTAAAAATATTTGGGTCGAGCCGGGCAAAAAGTTTGTATCTGACCAGTGAGTAAATAGTGGAGATGCCCGCGTTTAATGGAGAATAGAAAAAAAATCATTCTAAAGGCCTAATTTAGTTAAAGCTATATTTTTTTATTTTACTTATAATTAATGATTAAAGCTACTAAGATAGTCCATTCATAAATACGATTTCCTTTACCTACATTTTATGAATTTAAATCGAAATTATCATCATCATTGATTATTTTTCCAGAGGAGATATTTCTGAATTTAAAATATCCGGCCCGAATCAGGCAAGCCTAGTAAAAAATTAGAACCAGACCAGGTTACAAATTTGAATGAGCCGGTATAAAACCCAAACTGGGTCGGGCCTTAAAATTTTACCATTTGCTGAAATCTAATCTAAATCCATAGAATAAACTTATAAGTTATAATATTATAGACTTAAAAATGAAAAACTTCTTTTTCCATCAAATCGAAGGTGCATCCCATCATCAAAGCACCTGCTTCGTTCTCGTAACTCCTTGTTCTAAATCTCATACCTTTACCACAGGTAGCTGAACAAGGTGTCCAAGTTCCCCAATGTGTAAGGGAGCATTTGGGATGTATGGATTCACAATCTTGTATATCGGCAACGCATATTCCCTTTTAAAAAAAAATCAGGAGTTTATTTCCAAAGATATTAATATATGAAGAAATAAAGGAAATAATGAGAATGTTTTAAATAATGATAGTAAATAACTTATAAAATATAAAGAAATGAATGGTTTTAGCCTAATTATACTGGCCCATAGCCACGTACCCCCCCCAAGTTTTTCGCTTCCATCAAACCTGCCCCCGATTATATTTTTGGCCAACACAAATGGACCATAAGCTTTTTTCCGGCCTCAAATTTTAAAAAATATTACTTATTGAATCTTATTCGTTATTAACAATTAAATCCAAATGAAAAAAACAAAATTCTTAAAAAAATTTTGGTTATTAAATTTTATTTAGCCAAATTAATTGGATGAAGAAGAAAATACTTATAAAAATATTAGTTATAAAATATCCATTCGCTCATTAACCATTTAATGAAAAACAACATACAATATTCGTTTTTTATTCCTTGTCAAAAAGATAATAGTATTGGTGAATTCGTCAGTTCCCGTGATTATTCTTCTCAACCTCTTCTTGAACATGGTAAGTCAGTCAATGTTAGCGAAATTTAATTAATTAAACAATTAAATATAGATATTACAAACTACAAACTACAAAACGCGTTAAAAATTAATACATGTCAACTATAAATATAGCATTTTTAAAAAAGAAGTCGAAAATGACGATGACAAATACTTTTTCAAAATACCTATTTTCCTAGCGAAGTTTGAGACATTTAAAACGGCAAACAAATTACTGCCTATCATGCAATCATATTTACACGTAAAGTGAATGAAAATTTTTATAAAGAGTACGATTATTAATATGAATAGGACGAATATTCTTTTAAAATACCAATTTCTCTAGTGGAGTGTAACAGAATCATCCTCAAGTACCGGGAGGTACTCAGGCTGACACCTTACAATATAATTACTTATTTCCACCCATAATATTTGAGTATAACATAACGCAAGGTATCCTATTATTTCATTTTTGATGTTGTAGTTCCATTTGTTTAGAGAGTTAATGAAAGATAGACGAAATTATTATGTATATTTATATTTATTTTTATAAATTTTCAAAATAAATAGCAAATAATTTGACTGCCTAACTATTTGTTTTATTTCAAAAAAATATTGGCCCTCCCAAATAAACAGTTGCCCCCCCCACTGTAAATTCTTGGTTATGGGCCTGTAGTTATATCAAATATGAAGGTAAGGAATGGCTAAAGAAGAGGTAGGTTATTTATAACAGAAAGCCAATTGTAATGGGTAGTTATTTAACTTACGAATAAGAACGCCGTTTTTTAAGATCCATATATCCAAAGCTGGATTATTACAACTTTTAAATACTCCCGAAAAAGTTTAAGCTTCATAAATCATTAACCAAAAAAATCACATTTTAAACTTTTTTCCAAGCAAATCAATATATTTTTAGTCATATCGTCTTCTTTTTCAGTCATGCGTCTTTTTTACAAATAAATACTCCTCTTTTTCTATGTTAATTAACGAGAGAATTACTATGTGTTTGAAAAGGGGCACAGTTGTAAGGCTAAAAAAATTCAAGAAATCCTTTCATAACTAAAAAACAATCCAAACATAGTAATTTTTATATTAAAGTCCAAATACCAATAGTTGTAGTGGATTATTTCATAAAGCTATTATATTAATTTTTATATTTAAATTTGGGTTTTTTTAGATGATAAAATATATTATTTTTTGAATCTATATTTAAATGTTCATATAATTTGATCGCAAATCATTTTTAAAAAAAATTATCACTTGATTAATAATTCCCAAATTTTATAAACCTTTTCTATTAAATTGACCGATTTACACATTTCCGCTTTATCGGAATTTACCAAATATCGTCGCTTCATGGTTATACCTTTACCGCAAGTAACGCTACAAGGACTCCAGCCGGACCATATAGTGGCAGCGCAGGGGTCATTTTGGTCGATCGAACCTGTATAGTAAATATTTGATATAATATTATATATTGAGATTTGTTTTAATGAAATCCTAATGAAGCGCATATACACTGATAAATACTAGGCATATAAAAGTTTTACATGTTTAAAAAAAGGGAGTCCCCACATAATGTAAATTATATTATACTCCTTTATGTGATTTTGCATTTTTTGAAGGGAGTAAAAATATATGAGAATATTTACACTGATTTATCTTAAGTGTTGCGGGCAAATCATTTAAATTAATAATTATACTAAATTAAGTTTTTATTATAATCGATACTTAATGGTTACCGCAAAAATGACTATATTATTTTTATCACATCACAAATCATCAAACACATTGTTTTTGTGAGTTTAATAAATCCTTTTCTTCATTCTTTGTTTAAAATATATATAATTTCGCATTAAGACTATGTCTTAATTTTTTTTAACTTAATTTTGAGTAGAACATTATTCAGAAAAGCAACCACCCTGTTTTGGTTTTTATTTAAAGATTTGGCATAAAATGATGTTACGTTTTGAAATATGCTATAAGGTGTAATAAAGATATACGGTCCGTCCTATCGGCCTTAGGCTGGGACAGGATCGGCTTGATTGACGGACTGAACCATAATCCGGACGGATTTTTTATTTTTGGTTCGGACCGTCTTTTATTTAAGTTTTCTTTACTATTCAATTTATAAATTTTACCTAATTTCCCCAATAAACAAGAATTAAATTAAGCAAAACAAAAATATTTTTTTAAAATAACAAAAAAAATAAAAATCGATCTTTTTTAAAGAATAACCTACACTTTTATTAATGTGATTTAAAAATGGCTATATAAAAATCCTCATAAAATTCTTAAACATTTACGTAAAGTTTTGATGAGTGACTCTATTTGTAGTTAAGCTAACCTTTTTATATAATGTTAATTTTTAAAAAATAATTCAAACTTTTTAAAATATTTAAAATTTTTTAATAAGAGAACATTGGATTAGACATATTTACAGGCAATGACGTCACTAGCTTTAAAATCTCATGGAGGTGAAGGGGGTGGTGGTGGTTAACCTTAAAAAAAACGGGAAATTTTTATTTTTCATACCTCTTTTTTCCGGAAAATATATTCAAAATTTCCTCTATTTTAAGAAATATTTTCAGTTACCTTTTTTTATTAGGTATTTTCTAAAAAAGAAAAGTTAAAATCTCAAAAGGCTCTTCAAATTTCAGGTGCTCGAATCCCCTTACAGTGACGCTACTGGTGGCAGAGTACATAACATAGGACAGCTACTTTCTGATTAATAGTTAACTCATTTTTACTTATTTTCTTTCTATCTGCTAATATAATCTTATAATAAGTTTTAGGCGGATACCAAAATAAAAAATGATAGAATAAATGATAGAATAAATAATAAAATAAAATATTTTAATCAAAACCCTTACTTGTGATTCGTACAACTTGATTGCTGATCTAATTTTATTTGCAACATCATACCTTAATTCAACCATTTTCTTTATATAACTTCGCATCTTTTGAAATTACTTAAATAATGATGATATTGACATAAATGAATATCTCTGTCTGATGTGTCCTTATACAACCACATTGTATAATGACGAATCCAAAAATACTAATAGTTATCCTTATAATATCAAACTCACTTAGATGATAAAATAAGATTTAGGCTTCCATTTTAAAATATCATTTATGATTAATATAAGAAATCTAGACAAAAAATTTTATAATAAATTTAATTATTTTTAATAAATTTAGTTTTTAGTATAAAATTATACTGAGTTCACATATATTTTTTATCCATGGGTGTATATCATAATTATCTACATAAAGTTCATTTTTGAGACTTTGGACGTTATTATAAATAAAAAATATGTGCCCCTGGCACAGATGTGCCTAGGTCTCCCCTACCTACATGACAGGTTTTATTTTAAAATCGGATTGATTAGGGCCATTTTTTAACTCAGGGCTAATAAAATTCAGTCATTTTTTTATAAGCTAAAACATATTTTAAATTGTCCACTAAGCTTTATATACTTTATTTTTTAGATAGAAATGAGATACTAAATTATGTCCTTTGAAATATTTAGATATAACCTGGGTTCATCATCAGCAACTTTTTTCGCATAAATTCGTCGTTGTTGAGATTGATTTCAGTGTTATCGGCATTGCCCCCATCAGCGAAATTTTCGCTATCATTTTTGAAATAATTTTCAACAAAATTTTGGTATAGACTACTATTGCAATCGAGTTCATATATTTTCAGTCTCTGCAAGGTAATTCGGGCAATCGGTTTAACTAAATAACCAGGTTGCAATGCGAATAGCATCGGATTCGATTCATTGAATGATTCGGAAAATTTTTGATAAGCGTGCAAATCGAACCAAGGAGAATCTGAATGGTTAGGGTCTATTTTCGTGATATATTTGATCTTTTGAGCAGGAATCGATGGTTTGTTAGGCGACTTTAAAGGCATTTATTTTGATATAATATAAAAGAAAAATAAATACTTTGGCATGGTTATTTTATAACATCATAAACAATTAATGAAAGGACGGGATATTAACTTGCGGTTCGCCCTTATTATGCAAACAAGCATCCATAGGGCGAGTTTTGCCCTGAAAATATTCTTCCTCATCACTTCTACATAATGGGTAAATAAGGAAACCCCATTTGAGTATTAAAACAGTAGCAATTTTATTTTATTAATTATTATATTCATAATTGTGTTTAAATATAATATAGTATAAAAGTTAACCATATAAGTAATTCCATTATCGGTTCCTGCATCGATAGGCCATAAATCGATATTCATATTAGGAACCCAAGAACAATTCTCGAGGCAGAGATTAACAGAATCAAGTCCAGTTATCCAGTCCGGGCTGGGACCTAACATACTAACCAAAGAAAGAAAATGTCTATATTTGTCTACTCTTATAGTACCTTTTTTTTAATACACAAAGAAAAACAGTAAATTTTAATTATTTTTTTGTAAAATTTTATCGAAGCTCTTAAAGAATTTCTTATATTAATCTATAATCCATTTCTTGATAGTTGCAATTTGAAATAGCAATTTGATTGCTTGTCGTGCTCTTAGAAGAAAACCAGGTGGAGGCTTAAATCATTCCCAAAACATTCGATTTATTAATTAAGTCAATCTTGTTTAAGAAAAATTTTAATTAAATTTGTGAAATTTGATATTTTATACAATATTTAAAATTTGTTCTTTCAAGTGTAAATAATTTCTAATTCATTATTAATAAAGATATCCTAGAAAAATTGGCAAAAATGTTTGATTTTTGCTTATGCTCCCTCCACAGATTGGGATTATTTTAAATTTATACTCTACAGCTTAATTTTATAAAAAAAATCCATAACTAACTAACACTCGTTTTTCTTTAATTTTTAAAACTCACTTAAATTTGTAAATGAACTATGTACCAGATGAACTAATTATGTATATTATATAATTACCTTTAGTTTCACCCTGAACATTAGGAGGAAATAAGCCCTTCATTTTTAAAATGGTTCGAACGTATTTTGCCTATGTTAAAAAAAAAAAATTGATGTTTTAGTGATAGGTTAGCAAATAGTATTGCAAAAATTATATTGTGAGTGGTTAAAATTTCGAGGATACATGGAAATAATTTTAATTTTGTCTATAAGGAAAAATTCGGTGTATTTTTTTTATATTATATACAATGGAGCGCCCTTTAAAATTTTACAAAATGTCCAGCCCGGTCTATGATTTGCTATAAAATATTTATTAATTTGTTGATGAAACTACTAAAAAATTAGATTGCAGGGAATGGTTTTTTCATAATTTATTATGTTAGATAAATTGATAAAACAAAAACAGTAAAAATCTTTAGAAAAAATTATGCAAATATATTGAAGTTTTGAGTTATTTACACGGCAATCATAAACTTAAGTCTCAGGAAATTATAAGAATATTCGAGCAATTTAACCCTATTTTTTGATAAAGATAAAGATGAATATAATAAATTCCTATTTAAAACTTAGTGTGCCCATTTTCAAGATCAAATAATAATATACTTTTCTACATTCTGTACATTCATTATTTTATTTTGTATATTTATTATTATATTATATTCTTATTCCTTACTTTCCTTTTTAGTTCATTTTCGACCTTTTTGGTATCGCCATATTCTGCCACCATTTTTAGGGCAGGTGACGCAAAACCTCCTATTTCCCAAATCTTTAAATCTTTGGTATGACTGGCACCTGCTATATCTGACCAATGAATCAACCATTCACCTTTCAGTATTTTTTATTTTATCTTTCATACATTATGTTACCAGCAAAAAGAAATAAATAAATACCGCACCATGATATGACAACATCCAATATTAGAAATTGGAAGCGGTAAAATAAAATAATTAAAGATGCAAAGCAATAAATATCGTTTTTAAATACCTTAAACTTTTAAGATTTTTAATAAAATAAATACTTTGTGGGTAGTCTTTGGGATGAGTGTTCTTAGACCATATTCCTTGGAACGTAATTTGATACAATGCTTCATCGCAAGTGCAGCAACTTGAAGACACTGTTCATGGTAATAGAAAGAGATATAAATATGATAAAATATCGTATGTTTTTCAGAAAAAAAGGTTCTTCTTTATTTTAATTCTCTTGTCTGTCATAATTCCCCTCTACCCCAATATTTCATCAATAAAATATAAGCCCGATCCTTGATCCAATAAAAAAAATTAACCTTATATTTCCTTCTTATCTTTCCTTTTTATGTCTAATTGAATATCACAATTATAAAATGAATCTAATAAAATAAGAAAAGTTTTTAAAAAAATAGGTAAGAAATATTCATTTTCATATTATACTTTGTAATAAATAAATATATTAACATCATTAAACTCCATAACATTATGATTTGATTTCGAGATATATTTCTTAATTTCATTAATACACAATCAGACTAGGAGTAAGGCCTAGAACTTTAAATAATTCCATAGGCTTGAGGCAAGCTGGGGCCAAAAGGTTGATTTTGCATTCTAATTTCAATCTTCCCACCATCTCTTTAAGGATTTTTTCTCTCCTCATTCATTAAATGACCAACTTTTTGCCTTTTTCAGTGTAAAAAAGGCTACATTCGTTCTCTCTAAGGTCTAGTTTATAATGACCACGAAATACCACGATGTTGCTTAAGCTATGCGCAATTGATTGTTAAACAATAGGAAAGTTGTATCATTCAAAATTATGTACCATTCGCAATCTCTTTATGATTTCTCATTTTTATATCTTTAAAATGCGATTTAATAATTTCATGAGATATAAATGGCATAAATATTTTATTTATTAATTAGATTTATGGAAGAAAATATTTACCATTTTTTTTAGTCTCATTAATTATTAATGAGAGAATATAATGGATATATTATTATAGATTTTAAGAAAATATCAATCGATAAAATTGTTGGCATGCATGCAAAGAACTAATCTGAACTTATATTTTGTGAGTAGGTGTTGAAAGGGTCATCAAGGATCCAGGAATTTTTCAAGGGAGGAATTAATTTTTTTGAAAAAGACACAACATATGAAAATAATAATGGTTTTATAATTTAAAAAATATAAAAAGTTAAGTTTTCTAATAAGTTTTAATAATATTGCTAAATATTTATTCAAACTTAAAGTTTATTTATAGAGATTCCTCCCTTTTTTCTTCAAGGATGGGAGTTTGAGAAAACATCTTTCAGGGAGAGTGTTAAACCGCTAAAACTATTCCTTTGAATCCTAGCTAAAGCGTAATTTATATTACATATAATTCCTTCAACTCATAGGCTTAGACAAGGAATCACCTCTTCTTAGTGACCACTACAACACGGGTGGGGTTAGAAGCAACTGTTTCTTAAAATTTGAATGTGCTTTTTATAAATTTTTTATTTTTTAAATTTTATTTCATTCACCCTTCCACTAAAAGATTTCTTGTCTTATAAAAATTATTTTTCAATTTAAATATGCCCCAAAATATTAACCAAAAAATGCAAATGCTTGTAAATATACTCGGCATAATATAAGAGATGATAAATGGACAGACCATAATAAAAAAGACATGGTGGGCAAAATTTTAACTATATAAAGAAAAGCTTTGAAATAGTAGCTTTAAGACATTATTAAACTAATTACAGATTCGCCTGTCCTCAAATTGTATATTTAAAAAAAAATAAAGAAGGGATTATAATCCAAATTATATTCTAATCTATTGTCGTATAATAATTAAGAAAAATATGGCTATAAAAAATTAAAAAAGAGATTGAATTTAACAATTTTCAAAGTTGATGGTACATATGATGTTTCGAAATTAGAGCCATAGATTTGTCAGTAAGGTATATTAAAAATGGTAACACTACTGATATTAAAAAAACATATAGTTTCACTAATCTACTCCTCGAATTCTTAGTTGGGCAGAGCTATGATGGTGCTTTAAACATGATTGTAAAGATTATAGGAGTACAGACTTTGATTAGAGGAGATCTCAAAGGCAGCTTTTATTAGATGCCATTGTCATAGATTAAATCTAATCATTGTTCAATTATACCAATTTATAAAATAACTAAGAAATGTTTTCAGGTACTTAGACGAGATTCACGTGTATTTCAATAGTGTTAAAAAATTTAAAGTGTTCAATGCATGTCAGTGATGTACTGACAAAATCACAACGATTTTTACACATCAACAATACTCGATAATATCTTATATGTTTAGATTTAAAATGTTTATTTTATATATATAGAATCTGGCTATCATCACATAAAACTGTTGTAAAAAAATTTCTACTTTATAATGCCTTGAGGGCAGCTTTGAAAAATTTAAAGGATTCTGAATATTCTACAACTTCTAACATAGTGCTATTGTTTTTAGAATAGATAAATTTTATTTTATTCTTCTTCTGATGATTTGCTTCCATCGCTCAGAAAGTGTAGGAGCCACTGCCCTCTCCCCATCATATTTGCTAATTTTTTATAAATATCATTTAAAACAAATAAAAATTATCCCCTTAAATTTATGGTAAAAGCCATTTAAAAAAGCACCCCCTCCCCCCCTTTTTCTCCTCCTAGGAAATTTCCGCTTAAGGTTATGATACTAATTTATAATATTTAACATTTTAATTCATAAGAAAAACAAAATAAACGAATCTTAACATTTGATTTTTTGAAATTTTTTTTATTTTATCTTAATTTTCTATCGAGTAAATCTGCTTAATGTCATTATTATATATTCAATGAAACATCAAATACAATTATTAACTATATTTACATTTGCATATAGATATAAGAGGAGACAATACTTATATTTAATATAAGTCTGGCGAATTAAGTTTACTGCGAAACATGCCACCATAATAAAACAAAATTATAAAGTTAGATTCATTTAGTATAAGTTTCGCTTATTCGTTAATAGTCGATATCATTGATAATATAAGTTAATTAATTAGCCTAGTTGTGAAAATCTGAAATATGACATTCATTGGGTGTTTGTTAGATAGTAGTTTTCATTATTATGGTATAAGAGATTCTTAATAAAGACTTTAATGTCAAAACTAGAATATCTCTTGACAGTGAAAACATTTAATTAGACAAGTGATTTAAAAAATCAACAAATTCATTGATAAAACATTTGTTTACATTTTCTATTAACCTTTGATGACAAATCGAATAAAGTGATTAAAAAAAAAGGTGTAACATGCCAGGGTATATAAAAGTAAAAGCAGTGAGCCCGAAAATTATTTTGTAAAACCTTGCCCAATTATTTTTTCAGGCCCGGACGTAAACGATTACTGATATAGATACGTTTAAACCATCCATAAAAAAATACTTTAAAAATAGTTACAACTTGGCTTTATAATTGTGATAAATATTATATCAATAAAGAATCTCCCCTCATCTAATTTAAATTTCAAAATTCACTACCAAAAAATGTACTATGGTAGTAATAAAATGTTTTAAATGGCTTGTAAAATTAAAATTAAATGTTTTTTTACCTCCTTTTAACTCCAGGGAAAGTGTTAGAAGATCATTCCAGGAACATATTATCATCCAGATTAATGATGCATAGTAAAGCGAAATGCCAGCATTTATCAACATTTTTGTTGCAAAATAATGAATTATAATTTATATTTTCAAAAATGTTATAATAAAAATAAAAAATTTAATCATCTGTTGATCCTTTTCCATTCCAGTATTTATTTTATTTTTTTCTTCTTTCTCAAAATAAAATCAAAATTCTTTTAAATATAGACTCTAATAAAAAACAAGCGAAAAGAATGGAAATTTTTGAGAATGGATCATTGCAATTCTGTTATTTTAAAAAATGGAACACGATATCGTTACTTTTTATTTTTTGCATTATTCGTTACTTTTTGAAAAAGTAAAATATTATCAGATACATTTAATCTAAAAATAATATATTCTCTTTTTATTTTAAAAAATTTAAATTACAATAAATATAAGAAAGTATAAATTCATGCATCTAGGATTCAATATCAATTTATACGTTGATTCTGTTAAAAAAATATTAGGTAAATTCAGGTAACCCGAACCATTATTCATAACGGTTCAATTTGGTTACGGTTCATTATGTAAAAAATTATAATGATTACAGTTCGGTTATGGTTCTTAAGAAAAAATTTATAAAGTACGGTTTGAGATTTTTTTTAGAATTATTTTTATTGAAGCCACACCATCGTATAATGATTTAAATTCTGAACATTATTTTTAAAAATTTTTGCCATCACTTAAGTTAATATATTGTTTATCTATAAAATAGATGAAATTAGAACCATTACTCATTTTTAAACATATTATTTGAACGTATAAATAGTATATTTTCTATTATAAGTGGATTCATATTTGTTCGTTGTGACGATATCACAAATTTTAGCTCTAACATAAACTTGTGTTTTGGGGAACCGCGAGTACTATAAGAGCAAGTTTATATTTTCTGGATATTCAAATTTTTTTGATATTCAATATATAAAAACTGGTGATTTTTTAAATTAATTAAATAAATGCAACTAAATCAAAAATGGGTTTAGATATTTTGCATACTAAAATATAGAAAAGGAATATGGCTCTATAACTATAAAAAATAAATAGAAAAAAATATGAGGTCAAAGTAAACAATAAAAATATGATATTGATAAACTAATTAGAATTCATTATCAATTTGTAAAGCCACATCATATGGATATTATTAATTTAAAAATTTACAATCCCTCCTCGCACCTAAAAAATAATATTTAAAAAACATATTTGGACAATTTGCAAATACTTGCATTTCAAGTCAACACAAAATGTATTTTTCATAATAAAGGCTTTAACTATTAATGTTTTAAAATATACTCAAATGCCCAAATCCTATAAATAATATATAAAATTTAGACCTTATAAGTTTGGTCATTTATATGGGAATAATTGCCCTTCTATAAAACTACTCATGGGTAGGTGATGATTTTATATTTAAATTAATTAAATAAATAAATGCAAGAACTGTATCATAAATCTACAAATTAGTGATACTTTGCATACTAAAATAGAGAAAATAGGAATCGAATACTATATGAAACAGTTAAAAGATTGTGGATCAATTTATGTTAGGTGAAAAATTAATACATATACTCCTTATGGATATTAAACAAATTTGGTCATTTAATAATTATAAATAATGAAGCAGATATGGTAAAATATGCAATACACCACAAAGAAAAGAATGTTTAAAAAAATGTAAAATTATTTATTTTATTTTGGTTGAAACCGGTTCAAACCGATTTAACTTTTTTATATTCTTTTTACTCCTCCAAAAAATATTATATAGGTTACGTTTCAGATATTTATAAAGTTTCTAATGGTTTAGCGGTTCATTACGGTTCACTCCGGGTCCCTGGGTAAATTAGGTTATAAATTTTATAAGGATTGGATATTTAGAAAACTTGGTTAATAATATTTTAAAAGTATAATATATGTTAAAGTTAGTATTAAACGACTCGATTTTAGCCTATTTTTAAAAAAGGTTAAATCTCGAGATTTCGCTAATAGATATCCAAATCTTTGTTCAATCTATGAGTAAAATCTTCAGGCTTACGTAATATTTTTCCGTTTTTATAAATTGGCTCAAAATGAGGGTTTAACAAACTTGTTAGCGTTATTGTGTTTTTTCCGTCAGCGTATTATTATTTTTTAAATCTTTAAATCATTTTTTTTAAATTTACAAACTGATTTTATTAAGCATGTATTCCAGCTTGTTTATACAAAACGCTGTGATTTTTAGAAAGTTTTACCTTGAACTTTTGAACTTAATAAAATCTATATTTGTTTTTCCATAGTTTTTTTTTATATAAATTATAAAAGACTCAGGAATTAACGGCTAAATTGTCTTAAATTCCGGATAGGTATTTTAAACATGTTGGAATAGATCGGCAAAATTAGATATTTTTAGCTATAAAAATGTGGCTCAAAAAATATTTAAAGTTTAAAAAAATAACACATTGACGGAAAAACATATTGAGGGACAAACCACAGATACTAACATATGTATTTCACAATATTGAAGGGATTTAAGATCGAGTTAGACAAGCTTTGTAGTAAAATATAATAGTAAAATAACTGATCGGGATTATAATAAGATACCTATTTTTAAAAAGGAAATCAATTATTAATTTTAAAAATTCAATTATCGATATCAAAAAGTTAATATGTTTTATTGTTGATATGAAAGTAAATTGGTATACAACAAAGTGAGCCTTTTCTTGTTAACTAAATAATATGTATACAATATCCTGAAGGCTTAATTTTAAACATAATAAATATATACAACAAATTTTTTTTTTTCATAAGAATTTTTTTAAAGTACCGAAAATAATCGTTATTTGAAGAATAACGCGTGATTATTTATTTAAAAAGTAAGATGAAGTATCTTTGTCCTCTAAAACATTGCTTACTTAGCATTGACATTGATCAATTAAGGGAATTTGGTTTTTAAATTTATTACAGTTAGAGAATTAGCATTGAATTTTTTAAAAAGGTCATTTGTGACTCCAACTATATCAAAATACCCGATAGTACCTCCCCCCCCCCGCCTCATAAAAAAATTATTTTCTCCAAAATTTTCAAATAAAATATTTAAAAATGTAATAGATAAAACTCTAGATAATTAAAGCTTACCCCTACCTCCCTTTAAAATATTTGGATGCAAACTGTTCCTACCCACCCCCGTTCTTGTAGACGGTGTTTGTCCAATAGAAAAGCATAAAAACTTGATTGTAGGCTTCTAATTACAAAACTGCGAATGATTATTAAATTGTTTCAGAATATTTAAATTCAAATTCTACATCATTGCAATTGCAATTTTTAATAAGACATTTAATATTCATGTAATTGTAATTTAACTAAATTGGATTTAATTTATTTATATTTTGTTTGCATTCAAATTTGTTTTAATAAAGATTGATAGAATATTATTGATGTTATGCGTGATCTGACCTTGGTAAAGGCAAATGCTTTGGTTCTATTAAACACATAAATTTATTTAGGAGTGGGAAAGGTAAAGATTAAACTATATTAACAATTGAAATAATAGCGTCCTATTTAAAAACATGTAATACGATCAATTATAAATTAAATTCATTTTTTTAAATATGTAGCACCACCAATGACGCCGCCAATTCATGGTGGCGAATTAGGCCAGCCGATAAAAAACGTAAAAACCCGCCATCGAGAATTCGGCTGGCACACAGATCTAATTATATTATTCTTAAAAAGTGTTTAAAAATTAATACATTTATTCATGCAGTATGCTAGTATTTTTTTTGAGAAAAAATAGGAGTTAAATCCGCATTAAGTCCCAAAATATGAATGACTGTTTACCTAGTTTTTTGATTCAAATAATACTTTTCAGATAAATATTGAATTAATTGTAGCAAACCCTAATAACAAACAAAACAAGGTTACGTGATTTTATTTTCAATAACTTAGGTTATCGGGTAATTCTAGTTAGAGAAGGTCCCGGGCCAGTAACAAAAAGTTCCAGAACAATCGGTCGTATGTTTTTTTTAAATGTGTCTTCATCTAACCGAAAACCATTTTTTGAATATGGCCATCGTGGATAGTAATATAGTATATATCCGACCGAGTATTTCCGTGGTACCATTAATTCATATAAAATAATAAATAATCATTTTTTTTATATGAAAGAATGAATCTGACGAAGATACACACACAATAAATTTTATTAGTATTTTATATTACAGTATATAATATATTATGATTATTATAATATTATTTATATTATGATTTATTGTTATAAAATAATCGCTAAAATTTATATGTTTCCCTTGATCTATATTAAAAATAATATTTATATAAATGGCGGTTGGATAATTGTTTTGTATTTTAAAAAAATGCATTGTAATGCTGAGATTTTTTTCGTGTATACCATAAATTAAATTTTAAAAAAGTAATTAGTTCAATTTAAATTTTAGGATTATCATAAAAATGAAAAATCTAAAAATTCTAAAAATATATAAAACAATAATTTAAATAAATATATAGGATGGGTCACATTTATACAGATTAGTTTGAAATAAAGGGTTTGTGCCATTCAAAAAAATTGTCAAATGATAGGGAAATATTTTTGATTAACAAGAGATAATGGATAATTATGGATATATCGCAGGAATTACATAATTTCGAATAAATATATAAATAAAATAAAAATTATTTATAGAATAATATTAACTATTAAAATTGTGCAATATATTGGTATATCAGTGTTCCAAGATTTGTAAGAAAAATAATATTTTTATTAAAAAAGGAATAAATTATTACGACACAAAAATAATCAAAAATATATAACATACATTTAAAATGTTACTAAAATTTAATAAGTAAATTTCTTTTATATAAGGTTTTTTTTTCAAAGTCCATTCAAAATTAATAATCACATGATCAAATATAATTTAATCATAATTTCCTGATATTGTAATTATCAAAAAAGAATAATTTTTAATTAAAATGGTTTATTCAACCCCGGTACAACTCAACGCTTATTATCGATACCAAGCTATCCAATCCTTAACGTATATTAGGTCTATCTAAGACAAAATTCTCTGATAATATGGCTCTCCTCAGAAAATAATATCGTCTTTCGAGACCTGCGTCATGTATCGGTGTAGTTCCGCCGGAATTTTGCGCATAGGTTTCCCTGAAATGTTGTTTGTCGTAATCCATTGTTTCTTTACTCCTATTTCGATTCCTACTATATAGTTCCGCGTAAATTTGGTTATGCCCATGGTCTAGAGGATAAATTCTTCTGCTCGCGTCATATCGCGGTTGGTTCATATATTCCCCGTCGCTATGAGCCGAAGGATTATCGCGCGAATCTAGATAGTACCTTCCGTGTTTTACGATATTATTTGGGTAATAATCTTCGACCTGAGGCTGAATTCTATGAGAGCGAACATTAAAACTGGTGGATTTATTCGCATACCCTGTGATGGGAAACCGATTTATGTGAATCCTATCTGAATTGAACCGAGTTGGTAACAAAATCAAGTCATCGGGCCGGGCTGTTGGGTAGAATTGGTTTAAAACTCGATCTCTCGATTGTAGGCGGTAATACTGAGGAAGGTCGGGCTCAGGGGGAATAAAGTAATTTATCTGTTCCAGAGAAGTGTAACGACATGTGGGGAAAACTTTGTGTGAGGCACCTATAAGGGAATCTGGGGGTCGGCCCTTATATGATGTGGGCGTATAGAAGCCTTGGGGTTGATGAGTTTGAATACGTGAGGTGGGAGAAAAGGAGGGTTCAGCCGGGTATTTCCCCCTATCTATGATGAGGATAGTGGAAAGGCTAGGCGTTTTAGATTCACAGCTGTAATCGTTGACCAAATGTGAGCCACTTTTATCATCGTAATAGGTCGGAACCCTATCTTTGTATTCGTTACGATCGTCAAAAATAATGGGGGGAATCATTTCGGCAGATGACACTTCTTGAACCTTATTATCCCCGACTCTTTCCATCCTCTTAAAGTTGCCAGCATTCGAAGGTGAATAATTTAGAAGAACATGGCCTAACACTCTAGTTGGAAATTCGGAGGCAGTAGGTAGAATTTTTGGATAAAGCAGGTGGGCTTTGTGGAGTTCTAATGCATTCTTTTTAAGCAAAGCTATTAGATGGTCGTCGCCTATCTTGTCCAAAATTCCTCCTGGAGTTGGTAGTTCTGTAGTAAGAAAAGTCAGGCACCTTTCCATGTCCATTTTCAGGAGATCTCCTTTCAAATTTTGGCAAATAAATTGTAGAAGAAAAAAAAAGGAAATTTATATTGAATTATTTTTCAGAAAATCCAATGCCTTAATAATACGATAAAATGATTTGGTTGTAATCTTTAACAAAAAAATAGATTATAAACAGCTGATTTACCAAAATTTCTATTGGGTTTTATATATAATTTACCTTAATAGAACCCCAGCCCAGGATTGAGAATAATATTTTCCTACTGTTACGAGTTTAAGTGAAATTAAATAATAAACTACTTAAATAAAGAGGAACCAATTTTTCTGTCCTCCCAGAGAATCTAAATCGAGAAATGAATGTTGTCCAGGCCAATAAAAAAAAAGAACTTTAGAACTAGGACTGTGATAGGTTCTATTCGGTCGTTGCAAGCGTTCTCCGATTCGATCTTAAGGAGCCTAGCCCAATATAGTTCAAGTATTTTTGCAATTAGCCACATAAATATTTATATAAAAATTTTTTTAATATGTTTCGCAATTATGAATAGTTTTGCTTAAAATGCAACATATTAGTTTGATCTCCTATAACAGTAAAATTTTTTTTAAAATAATTATAAAATAAAGGTATTGATGAGTTTTTCCATATTCGAATTTAGTATTATTCTATTTTACGACTATATATTTTTTTAATCGACTCGGTACAATCCGGTCAGGTGTGGTCTGAAATCGGTATAGGGGCGAGTCTTATGGTGATCTTAAGTAATTTTAATATATTACTTCTATAATATCTATTACGGCATGCCGGTATTCAAATCGTATCGGCACGGATATTTAGCGTTTTCAAAAACTATCGAATCGGGCCAATCTTTTAAAAAAACCGATCCTGTAGCAGATTTAGAGATAAATTAATTTACATAGTTTAAAAAGATGTAAATTACCTTAATTGTTATTGAATATTAATAGTTGCAAAAGTAAATATGTGTATTAAATTTAAATAATAGGATTGGAAATATCATTCACGTTAGATCCAATCCGATATTTTTATTGTTTTGGGCTATTTTTATTTTATAAATTTTCATAATAAATTAATTCACTATATTTTTGTTATATTATGCAACAATGATTTTAAAATATCTAGTCAAATTCAGCTAGTGATTTTAAAAGGTTCGATTTAGCCCATTTTTAAAACAGTAATCTCAAGATTTTGGCCAAAAGTAAATTACTCAGTTTATTGATTTTGCCTATAGATTTGGACTTCTATTAGCGAAATTTCAAGGCTTGTGGAATAATATTTTGGTTAAATCTTGATTTAGCCATTTTAAAGATCGAATGGAGCTGTTCAGCAACACTACATTCACCCATAAATATTGCAAATTTAAAATGAGATCTTTTGGAGATTAAAAAACAAAATACACATAATCTTTCGTGAAAGTTAGTTGCTTTTTTAAATAGTAAATACTGATATTTTTTTGACATTGGTTGGAAGATAGATGAATAAAAAACAATTTAAATAAATCGTGTTTTTAGTAATATGGAAAAATATTAGATCGGAGAAAAATTTGTGAATAGGAAAAGCCCTAGAATTTTATTTTAATTAAAGATCCTATAATGGATTTTAAATACATTTATTCTCATTTTTTACTTTAATTGTGAATTATTTTTTACGTAAAAGTTTAAGTAAAAAAACAAATTTTTTTTAAAAAAATCCTTGTATATCATTTCTCGTCAAATTACCTCCTTACTATCTACCCAACTTTTAACAAGCCGTAATTAATTTGAATTAGGTATGAAGGGTTTATCCGCTGAGTGAGACAAAAATTAACTTTACTTTTAAACATCTTCAATAGCGTGTAAGACATTGCGATCAGTACTTTGTCACCCTCCAGCATCAAAATATCCCATATGCGTAAGGTAAGATGGAATGGTGTCTGTGGGTTGTTTTTATGTATTAGTTAAATTCAATTATATAACCAAATAGATTAATATTCGATTTATGTGGTTTTATATTACATATGTATTTTCTGATAATAAATTTTAAAAATCGATACATAACTTATCATATATAATAAACATATATTAAAAAACAGAAGCTAATAAATAGAGCTGTGCCATTCCTTAGTAAAAGAAATGATCGGATATGTTTTTTTTTACTTTATTAAGCCAAACCAATTCGATACCGATATTTTTTTTAAAAAATATATTCATTTTATTTTAAACTATAAAAATTTTTTCTTCCATTTTTTTAACATTTGTAGTGTAAATATTATTAATAGTACTATTTATTTTATATAAAGCCGTGTCCAAAATATCAAAAAATTCGATTCAAAAACTCTTGAAATTTTGTCGAAAAAGAAAAAATAAATTTTTTTTTTAAATATAAAATTAAAAACATGCCCAAAATATAATTCTAGAATATTTCAAAAATTTAACATATGATTTCGTTAGAATTTTAAAACTTCTAAAACTACTAAAAGTTTTAAAACTTTTCGAATTTTTTCCAAAAAAAAATGGAAATTGCCTATACCTAATAAAAGAAAAAAAATAATTTTGAGAATTTGACGGGATATATGTAAAACTTATTACTAATATATTTACAAAAAAAAATATATTTATGAAAAAAAAACTAATCAAGGTTATCAATAAAAATAATTAGAAAATATAAAAAGCTTAAATTTTTAAATATATTTTGTTCATTTAAAGAAATTTGAGCTATAACTAGAGTAATGTTATATAAATTTTAGTAAATGAAAAAGATACTATATACCTTGGGAAATTATTTAGAATTGTTAAACACAGTGTAAAAATTAAACATTAGATAGTGAAAATAAATTGGATAAGAAACCCATTAAAAATATTCCTTGTATGGTTGAAGTAAATAAATAGGAAAAGTATACGAATAATGAGGATGAGTGATATAAAATAAAATTTTGATATTTTATTTTTAGGTTATTAATATATCCTTTTAATGCATTTTTCAAAAAATTTAATAATAAAAAAATTTCAACTTACATTGGTTATATAAATACTCAGCTCAACAAGATCCCTTTATACATTTACTTACCATGTAGGGAATATTTTTATTAAGCTCCTTATCAAATTTAGTTTTACTATCTTATATTTAAGTTTAACCGTGTGTTTAACAATTAAATAATTTGACAAGATATATCGAATCTTTTTTTTATTTAATATTAAAATTTATTTGACATCATTCACGTAATGGCTCAAAAGTAGGAAATTTAAATGATTAATAAATATATTTAAAAATTAAAGCTTTCTATTGGCATTTATATAAGAGTAAATGATTTGCAAGAACATTTAATTTTATTTTATTACTTCTTAATTCTATTCAGTGGGATACAATTAAGGTAAAAATTATAAATCAAAGTAAAAAATCGTAATTGGATCGGTTCTAATGATCTGACCGGCAAATATTGGATTCGATTAGTATTGGCCAAAAAAAAGTATATCGGTACAGCTTTATTAATAAATAAAGCATGATTTTTAAAAATTGAGTTTTCATAACACATCAATCATAATGCGACCTAATTGCGTGTTTCAATTTAGCTATGCAAAACGCAAGCATTTCAAATGGTATCGTGCATATTGATCAAAATTTATAAACATTAATAAAAAAGCACACTGGTTCTGCTTTTTTTCGAAAACATTCAATTAGATCGCTCTAATATATATATATCTTATATGATATTATAGCAATATTTTAATTGAAACGAAATATTTCAATATTTATTCCTAACACATGCACATTGCATAGTTCCTTTTATCTTTCATTAAATACATATTTTTTTCTTTCTCTCTTTCTCTATTCTATCCTTTCTTACTTTTTACGTTTATCTTTATAAGATAATAGCAAATCATACGTTTTAATTTTTATTAAATACCCTATCGATGAAACACTGCAAAAACCATTTGATACAATAAAGACCAGGGGCAATATTCTGTTTATCGAAATGTTTCTTGAGGGAGGGCATAAAATGTTTCATTATTTTTTCTAGATGGGTTTCGAATCTATGAAGTTTGGGAAAGCTGGGAACGAAAAACCCGTGCATAGAATGACGTTTGCCAGTCATCAGTTGGGAAAGAGCCCAAAATGCGTCCTTTTTTTAAAAAAATTTAATCGAAAATTGATTGGAATGTGCCCCATTTTTTAATATTTTCTGAATATGCATTAAAAGAGATATTACACACTTTAATAAGCTTGTATTATAATCCCAAAGTTTTTTATTGAAAAATAATATATGACCTTTCTTTATTGTACCATGACCTTCCTTTATTATACCATGACCATATTCGCCATATACATTTAAATAAATAAAAAATTACACGAGAACAATTCGATTTAACAACAAACGTTTTTATTTTTTCTTCATTGAATTCTTTAGTAGTTTTCTTTACTTCAAGCAAAATATAAGGCCCGTCACTGGTTAAATCGAAATAAAGAATATTGTTTACAGACTAATATTTCACAAAATAGTTTAAATTTTGCTGGGATTGTAAAGAAACCTCCTATTTCTTTCACTGTAGGCATTCATTTAATCTTTTTTAAACAACAACTTTACTTCTTCGTTAAGGTACATCAGTAGTAGAGCGGCGATTTGATTCATGCCTTGACAATAACCAATGTCTAAATTGTATTCGGAATAGGCTACCAATATATGGAACAATGATTGCTGTCTTTGAAAATAAAAATAGTATCAAATATAATATGTAAAAAAAAAAATTAAGCAACTAAATTATCCGTTAATATAATAAACAATAACTTAATAGTACTGAAATATGTCGTCCAGAAACACCTAAATCAATTACAAAACCTGTACTGCTGGAAGGTATCCTTTTTTTTACTCATTTTACAATCTGCATTAAAAAAAAATTAATAATACTACTAATTATTGCAAAAAATAACTTTTCGAATAAATAATTTTGTTCGTAATCCTTAAAACTTGAAATGAAAAATTTAAGAAATTTTTTTTGAAATAAAAAAACTTTATCCCATATCTTTCGGCGAACATAATATTATTTCTGTAGGTGCGATTAACGTCTAGATCGATTTGTTTCAATTCTTTCGAATGCTTGCGAGCCCAAGCTAAAAGATCCTAAAAAATTTAAAAAATCTTTTTTTTCATTTTTTTCTTTTGATAAAATTTTTACTTAAAAATGCCAAAATATTTTACATGCTTAAAAAAATTTTCAAAATGAAATCAAAAAATTTCAATCAGGGATCTACAGGTTCGGCCAGGCCCTGCCCAGCCCGGGCCTATTTTAATTTTTTTAAATATACTCGGGCCGGGCCGAACATTTTAAAATCAAAAAGAGGGCTGCCTGTAAATGGTCAAGGACTAAGAAGGACGCTCGATTTGAGAGTTTATGTTTCGAAAACATTTTTTTTATTAAAAAAATACAAAATTCTCATTTTTAATGCTTTGACAAGGTTAAGTAATTCAAGGCAATTTAGCTGTTAGTTTTAAAAAAAATCATTTAAATTGATAAATAAGGATAATATAATTTTGTAAAAATTTGTTATATAGATTGCGACGTATTTTTTAAAAAAAAAATTAAATAGTTTATATGTAATTATAAAATATTATTTTATTTTTTTTACTATTGTAATTTGTTAAATTTAACAATTTTACTTTTGATTGACACTTCTTTTTTATAATTTATTTTCATATTCGTATTCGATTTACAGTTAGAACCATTTGTTAATTTGGATAAGTTATAGATCACGGCTGGTAATCGATTAAAAAATTTTTTATTACGCTGTAAATATTGAGATAGACATTTCAAAGCGTAGGAATATTTCTCTAAATGATAATTGGTATGAGGACCCAAGACTCAAAAATCTCAATTTAAAATATACGAATTATTTAAAGCTTAATTCATATCTAGACAAGGTTTCCAGAACTCCTCCCATCTTTTCCTAAATATGCAACTCTCTAAGGCAAATCCCGCATTGGCCTATTTGTATTTTAAACATATTTACTTCCAAGACAGTCTTTGATCCGGTTTTTTTTCATTGACTGAACCTGGGGTTTATCAAATGAATGTTAAATTGTGGTACATTTATATATATATAATTTTCATACTGGTTTTAACTGATATTATAATTATTATTTTTTTAATCGGCCCGGGTTTGGTTTATATTTTTCTTAAAATCCCGTTTATAGCTGGGATTTGAACCTGTCTTTGAAGTAATATTTTCAAATATTTATTATATAATGATAAAATAGTTGTTAAATTACTATATTTAATTTGTTTTTTTTAGTGTTGTTAAATGGTGCGATTTAGCCTATATTAAATAATAATATTACGCGAACCTCGAAATTTGGTTATATAAATGTCGAAATATTTATACTGTCATTAAGCAAAATCTCCAGACTTGAGTAATATTCTTTGATTGAAATATTGGGTTAGCCATTTTTAAATATTCACGACGTGTTTTGCAAATAAAATAATCAATTCAGAATAATCACAAAAAAAATATTCTTATTATTTATAAAAGAGTATTTTTTTAAAAAAAATTTGATCCTGGAGAGCGATAATAAAAAGATAGGATAATATGCCTTTTGATGCGCCAAACAGAATTAGCTCATTATTGTCATCCTTATGAAATTTAAAAAAATTTTCCGTCTCCCCATCGAGTCATCATATAATCGTGAAATAATTGAACATCTTGTATCGAATGGGGCTAGATCGATTTTTTTTAACCGGAATTAAGTTTTCAATCGACACTATAATGATTTTCCATTATAGATCCGTATTTTTTACCCTTAGTTATTTAGCTTTGTTTCCGGAAATTATCATTTCCATTACCCTCTAAACTTTAGTTTCGCAAAAATATTTTTTATTTTAGTGATCATGACCACAAATGCTGGTACTTAATTCGTTCAATTTATATACCTTCGTTCCGTTTTTCGGCAATGGTAATGTACAACACCCCCCCCCCCCCCGATTTCGTTGTCTAACTGATATAGAGAAGCGATAATATATAAGTGGTATCATTTTTATTTTGTGTGAAAGAAGAAACTTAATTATAAAAATAAATTTATTATTATATTTACTTTTATCATGATTATTTTGATGTAAACCAGTTAAGACAATATATTTATAGGAAGATCACATTTATCTAAATAGTTCTCTGATGTGTTACAAGAAAGAAACTGCATAAACATGCCTGACAAGTTGTAGGCTTCGACATAAATCTTTTACAGAATTTTAGACTTAGACCTATTTTGAATGTTGGAGATATATCAGAATGGCCTGAACACCCTATATTTTACCTAAAGCTGTTTATTAGATACAATAAAACGGCAGATCTTATTGCATTCGAATGCATTAATAAATTATTTGGCACAATAATTTTATGCAATATTTTTTAAAAAAATGACTTCAATATGGTTGTGATGAGAATCGTGAATATTATTATTTTACAACTTAAAACTAAGAGAAAATATCGACCAAGATAATCACGAGATTTATGTGATTGTTGAGGCGAAAGCGAAATTATAAGATTTTGAGATTCGCAAGTCTTGACTTGTACCTGGACAAACAAATCCTTCCAAAACGGAGACATTTGAGGTACTCAAATAAGAGTTTTATTTCACTATTGGATTTGGATAAATTTTTGCCTCAAATGAAGAATTTCAAATGGCTTTATCCAATTTACTAATATTATTATCAATAAATCCTTCTGCTAGGGATATATTAAATCTTTATATTGAAAAAAAATAAACATCTTAAGTTTTGATGGATATAAATGTCACTGAGGCCTTAATTTCATAATTTAAATCTTGGTATAATATTAATTTCATTAGATAATCTTCCAAGAAATGCAAAGAAACATTGCATACTTTTAACTATATTCTGGATTTTTATATTATAGTTAATGTATATTTTGGCAAGAATACCAATTAGTACAAGCACAAATGAGAGGACCTTTTCTTCGTTATGGAAAATAAAAATCTATCTCAAAAGCATGACATCATAAAATTAATGGAAAGAAAAGATTTAACCCTAATAGAGAGCAAAATATTGAAATAAAAACGATATTTTGATTAACTTTTTAAATCATCATATAATATTTAATTCTATATTTAATCATGATACCAGTTTATATAGATATAATATTTTTTTAACAATTTCACTCTTCAAATATTTATGTATTTACCAATATTCTTTATTTGTGTTTTAAATTGTCATTTTTTTAAATATGATTGGTTATATAATAAATTTTATATGGTGATATTTTCTAATAAATTTTTAATGTTCCAAAAAAATCATTTAAATATAAAAAAATATCACCCTATAGGAAATTCTTATTATATCCTAAATGTTCACAAAGGGGTTAGAGGATAACTACCTAGAATTTGTATAAGGTGGAAAAAATTTCTCAAGTACATGCAATCTGTTACTCAATATCATCTGATAATCCCCTACCTATAAACCTTATGTGATAAATAGGCTTAGCATTTCCAAATCATAAGGTCTAGGTATCAAAAACTTAAGGTAATAACATAATTGTAATATTTTTCTTAATAAATCTTAAAAACAAAACTTATCAGTGATTAGGAAAGATTTATTATATTTAGTCAAATGAGTAGTGTTGTTAAACGGCTCAATTTGAGCCGATTTTTCAAACGGCTAACTCAATATTTTATCCAAAATAATATTACGCAACTCTGAAGATTTTGCTCATAGATGGCACAAAGGTCTAGACATCAATTAGCGAAATTTCGAGGTTTAGGTAATATTTTTCTAGCTAAAATATGGATTTAGCCGTTTTTAAAAATCGGCTCAAAATGAGCCGTTTAACAACACTACAAATGAGCATCGTGCATGATAATTAGAAGAAAAGATTATGGATGTAACAAAAAGATGAATGTTCAGTTGAATATTGGTTAAATCTAAGGAACAGGTAGGGTACAAAGCATGTAAGGAATAAAGCATGTAAGGAATAAAGCATATAAGAAACATAGCATGTAAGGAGCAAAGTAATATATGAAAAATATTAATAATTGCTCTGATTAATTCTAAAATAAAGGAAAAAAGAAAACATCGAAGAGAGATGGAAATGGAAAATAATAGAGAAGACTAAGGCAAGTTGGGGAAATAATAATAAAAAGTCAGCTATATAAAAAATGGAAAGAATGACAGTTGGAGACTTGAGGAATCTTCAATTAATAGATTATATATGATTGATAAGTATGTAGGAGAGGAATTCACATGAATGATTAAGATATGATTGTTTTACTTATTTTCCAGAATAACTTAGGCATATAAAAAAAATATACATAACAAAAAGATAATGTTGCATTGTTAAATTAATTTTTTTTTAATTTATTTTATTCTGGGAGATAAATATGTTAAAACCACTTTTATACTTTATATAAAGTTCTATTTTGATGCTTTTGTCCATATACATCTAATAATCTTGCCCAGACTTCACCTCTAACATGCTCTGGAATTCCTTTATATACTCTTTTAGTAAGCTTAATAATATTTAATAAATATATATTTAAAAATAAATTTACTTTTTGTGAAGGAAAGTATTTCTTCCAATTTTTTAACATTTTTAACCATTTTTTAGTGCGCTCAACTTCTATTTCTTTACTCTTAAGAAATGCCTAATTTAGAAAATATATGCTAAATATCATACTTTATTTGCAATAATATTATCATTATCAATTTTTTCTATAGAGCTAGAAGAGCAAAATGGTAAAAAGAATTAGTTTTATAAACGAACTTCAAAAATCCATAACGATCAATAGATTTGGAAGAATCATCTACAGCTATATTTTTCCTAGCCTAATAAAACATAATAGTCAAATTATAAAATAGAAATTAAACCTGATCATAAGCATTGAATACATTAAACCTTTCTATATCAATATCCGCCATTTGATGTTTAAAATTAGGCTCAGTGTGCAGCTTAAAAAAACATCCATTCTCAGATAGCACTACATCAGGTCAAATGTAGGAATGAAAAACATATGATTTTTAATATGATGATAAACGTTACATAAATATGATAATCTGTTTGTGATTATTTAGCAGACATTTAATAAACATGGTAATCAAAAAAATATCTTAGGGTTTGCTATTTCACCTGCCAGTATACATTTTTAGCATTCAAAGATATAATTTTCTAAAGGTAGATGAGGTTATCATCTTATGAGGGAATGACAATCAGGTGAATACAACAAAATTTTAATCGTGTAAGAATTTTTGTAATAATAAGAATTCTGTTTATCACAGACTTTTAGATCTATGATAATAACATTTTATTATATTATTGATATAAAAAATTTTTCTTTTTAGGTTATCACCTTAAACGAATCCCGGAAAAAAAACCCCTGGAAAAAATACCCCGGAAAATAAACCCCAGGAAAATAAACCCCCGGTAAATAAACCCCCGGAAAATAAACCCCCAGGAAAAAAAACCCCCGGAAAATAAACCCCCAGGAAAAAAACCCCCGGAAAAAAACCCCCGAAAAAAAATCCCCGGAAAAAAAACCCCCAGGAATTTTTTTTTCATTTTTATAGAATTTAGTTAAGACCTAATAATAAAGGTATATTTTTATTTGGCCTCTTTTTTAATGAGTACCTAGATTGATGGGTTGTTTATTCCCAACCAGATTAGAAAAACGAAGATTCCAACCTTCGCATTGATTATTTGTTCGTTCTTCATCTGAGAGAGTGCTCTGATTGACGTTCCAGGTTTCTGAAGGAAATCGAGGCTCAATTCGACGTGTTTGGAATTGAGAATTGCTTCTCATGACCTCCCTTGATACTCCATTGACATAATTTTTATCGAAATAATCAAGAATGTCCTTACCATTGCTCGGAGTAACTGATCTCAGGAATGTCATTGCATTGTCCATATCACATAACGGAACGAATGCTAAGCCGTCCATCATGCCACAAAAAAACTTAGAGTTTCATTGGTCCTGTATTCGCTTTCCAGACCTAGCTTCTGAATTTTTCTATGTGTACTTTGACACAAATGGTAAAAACATCCTCTAATTACGATGTGATCCCCTAATTGAAAAAAAAATATATAAATTATTAAACATATTAATAATCATACCAATGATATTCTTGACCGCGGTCATAGCAGACTTTTCGAAATCCATGTATATATATATAATGGATCAGGAAATAAATCCCTTTCCTGACATTTAAACATTATTGTTTGAAATATTATTTCATAAGTACTTTGAGTTTTTTTCTGGAGTACGCAATAAACCGCTGTAATAAAAATATTGTTAATTGCTATTCTAATCACATATAATTGTAGAAAATTTTTTGGGGGCATGGCAAAATTACCATCCATATACCACTCTGTCCTATTAGATATTAGATTCAAGGAATCATCTGTTGCGAACACTATTATGCGTTCTTCAGCTTGTGGGCCATTATCAAATAATAAAAATCGTTTTGAGCTCTGGGAGCCACAATTTGCCCAATCACCTTATAATATTTAAATTTTTATGAATATATTATAATATTTACACTAATACCTTCAATAACTAGGCCTTCCAAATTCTCAAGATTTGAAGGGTGTTGCATTGCTTTGTGATTCCTTAGAGTTCTTTTTATAGAATCTTCCGATAACATATGCGAATGAACTCTTTGGTCTAATTTTACAATTTCCTCTGCATAAATTTGAAGAGGTTTTGCCAAAGAGTCTGCACATCGCTTCTTCATGTTAGCAATGGATTTCATTGCTACTAGTCCATCAATATTTGATGGATGACTATGAGCTGTATCAAGAACCGGGTCTTGATTATCGAGTGTTGAAAAAAGTATTGCTCGGCATTTAAAAGAAGAATACTTTGAGCAGCGCCATCTAATCTTGTTTGAGCATTTTTTATGTATGGTATAAGAATAACCTTCATATATGAGCTTTCCAGGATGAATAAGATCCATTAAATTTTTTTTATAAAATATAAATTTTATGAATAAAATATTTTTGTAAATTTAATTTTTTTTGGTCTTTATACGGCATAAAGATCCAAATTATTATTGTATAATTTTATAAATAAATACCAATTATAGCGTTTTTAATTGATAAACAATCTTTATTCTTTTGATTAAAAATACATTTTAAAACATAATGATCATAATACATTTTAATATCTGTTCATTTAACTAGTTGCTGAACAATAATATTTTTAACAAATTATTAACTTGCAATTGTCTAAATATCGATTATAGCGTTTTTAATTAATAACCAATTTTTATTCTGTTGATTAAAAATACATTTTAAAACTTTTAATACGCTAAAAACTAAAGGTAGTTGCATATCAATGAGGTGACAAATCATGAATAAATTAAAATTATCACATATATTCAAAATACCAAATGCAAAAAAATCGAGTATTTTCCATTTGCATTTTAATGGTTTCAACTGAATTAAATTGTATATTGGGTGAATGTATATTTGTTTTTATTATAATAAATCACGAATTTATTTCAATATTCATCTTTTAAATATGCAATGAATTAAGTTTCTATTTCTTTATATACTGGCTGCTAACAACCAATCAAGTTATATACAGATGTATTTCTAAAAATTGATTATCTGCTTAAATAAATTTGTATTTAAAAAAAATCTGTTTGGATTGGCCTATTTATGCAAGCAGTTACTTCTAATAATTTAGAATATATACATAACGTTTTAAGTATCAATAGTAAAAATAAATAACCCATCATATTGGGGGGTAAATTTGGATGGTGCATCATATTCTTAGGAGGCACACCAACTCCAGCAAAGCCCATGACAGTAGGAGGAGGTGGGGGTGAAGGAAGCATGAATGGTCTATCAGCAAAAAGTTGATGAGGTCATAATATTTTTAACAAATTATTAAATTGCAATTGTATAAATACCAATTCAATATAAATTATTACTAGATTATACTTAAATATGAGAGTGTATAAAAATAATCCCAAGTGGTTTTTTTCCGGGGGTTTTATTTCCTGGGGGTTTTTTTCCTGGGGGTTTATTTTCCGGTGGTTTTTTCCGGGGGTTTTTTTCCAGGGGTTTTTTTTCCTATTACCACCTTAAACCAGCAAAGTTTTATATCATTAAGGCAGTTAAATATCACCTAATATTCTAAATTATCCGTCGATCATATTTTTATACTAACAACTTAATAGATTCAACCATTTCTTAATTAGGCGGCTTATTTTATCATATTTTTTTGTTTTCAGATTAAAATATATTAAATTATTGTAATGGATTATAATATTAATAGAATTGCACAAAATATAAATTTCAATAATTAATTTTTTATATCTACCCATTATGTATATTTTTTAATATTATTACTAGATGCCTGGGTATATACTATGAATAATATTTTTGGTTCTTTATCTTTATCTTGTATTAAATATTAAGACTATTCTGTCTAGCGTGGAATATTGCCTATGCCTCGAGATTTCGCTAATATATGTACAAACCTTTGTTCCCTCTAGAAACAAAATCTACAAGCTTGCGTAATATTATTATGGGTGAAATATTGAGTTAGCCGTTTTTAAAAATCGGCTGAAAACAAGCCGTTTAACAACACTAGTCTAGAGGATACGATGGATAAGTGTCTGGACAGATACGATGAATAAGAATAATGTTTATAAACATATTTGTTGATCATTTTATTTACGTTTACCAAAGATATTGCCAGAATTTTACTGTGGAGTAAGGGTGGGGGTGGGGGGTTGTAAATAATTTTTTTCTATAAATTTAATTACATATAATATGAACAACATATACATTCATCCAAAAGTTTTTAAAATTATAAACGAGCTAATGATGCTAAAATGCTTCATTATATTTATCATCAGAGGGGAAAAAAAAATCCAAATCTAACTCATACCAGACTACTTCTTCAGAGTAACGACGTCAATTAGATTCGCCAATTATAAACAAAATGTATTTAAAAGTGTCCATACATAGGAATAAGCTGTAATGCTATTTTGTGGTTTTATTTTGATTAAATGATATCAATGTGCATTCATATAATGATAAATGAAGATAATTGGTCGACGTGCAAACCCTAAAATAGCGCTATAGCTGACTCCTATATATGGACACTTTTATTTAATGAATTCGTATATATATTACACAGCATTTACATGAGCGGTGGGGAGGGGGAGGATCAGCTTGCTTCCAATTTTTATTGAGGGGGATAGAGATAGAGGGTAGCCAGTTTTAAAGGAGGCAGGATAAATTTATTGGAGGGTTATCTACTAATTTTTTAGATGAAATAGGACAAAATATATTCCTGTAAATATTAATACTTTTATTATAGACCTATTATAATACAATGATATTGCTGATCATCTACCAAATATATATATATTGCAAACATTCATAGAATTATTTTCCAAATAAAACTTTCTGCTATTTTTTTAAATGTATTAAAAGGGTTAGACATTCTCAGCAACCTCATATTCATGTCGAACAATTTGATATTGCAGAAAGACTATATTTAGTGTAGTAAGCATATTTGATGTACCTAGGTTCTAATATTATTTATTTTATTTAAGAATAAACAAAAAAAAATATGACTAATCCTAAATAACTTAGTTATCAAGTGATTTTATATTAATTCAGTAAATAGCAATTAGCTTATCTGAAATCTCAAGCTCCCTATAGACTTTTTCTGCTATATTTCCATATGTTCCAGGAATCCTCCTAAATGTAAACCAGTGGCGTCACTAGGGAGGGGGGCGCAGTAGCTTGAGCTCCCTGATAAATTTGAAGCCCCCTGAAACAAAAAAAAATTTTTTTAATTGCTCATTAATATCCCCTTGAACTAAAAAAATTTTTTAATTGCCCCCTGAACGATTTATAATTCTATTAAGTAATATATAGATTTAATTTTATTAATTAAAAATTAATAATACTGTCTAAATTTTTAATGAATTTTATTTTAAAGATTAGATTAATACAT